TGCAGAACACTGTACCTTTAATTTAAATGCCCTTGGAGTCTGCTGGGGAAGAGAAATAATACTGTCAGTCAGTATGACATGCAGATGAGTGCCGTCGATCTTAGAATCACCGCACACTTCACTCATTTGGGCAGTCACGGGGCCAAAACCAGAGTGTGGAGCTACAGTGTGGCGGTGGAGGCAGCAGCAATGGGAGGCCATACAGCACCCTATGACAAAATGGAACCCACCAGCAGTGTGAGGAGACCTGAAAGTGGGCACATGGCAGAGTGTGGCGATGGAGACAGCAGCAATGGGAGGCCGTACAGGGACCCATGACACACTCTGGACCTGGCAGCAGCATGAGGAGGCGGTACAGGGGCCCATGACAGATTACGGGCCTGGCAGCAGCATGAGGAGTCGGTACGGGGGCCCATGGCAGATTACGGGCCTGGCAGCAGCATGAGGAGGCGGTACAGGGGCCCATGGCAGAGTGGCGGAGCGTAAGCAGCTAAAATTGAAGGCCATACAGAGGCCTAATATGTTAAAAAGTCCCCCCAGCAGCAGCGTGGGGAGACGACTATCAAGAGTCCAATGGCAGAGTGGCGGAGCAGAAGCAGCTTCAATTGAAGGCCATACACAGGCCTAGGTTTAAAAGTCCCTCACAGTTTAATTCCAATAACGAACTCTACTCCTCCGTGCAATCTACTTACGAGACCCTGGGCAGGTCTGGGTCCAATTTGTGGTAGAGACTGGTTTTGTTCAGCCATGCTTGAGCGAGTAATAACAGGTCTGTGCTGCCCTTTGGTGTCTGGCTTAATGCGCACAACACTGAACGTCCCAGCGTTTGTCAACGATTTGCCGTTAAGTGATGCAAACCCGCTGAACCACGTTCATGAGGAGCCGGTACAGGGGGGGCCATGAATCAGTATGGACCTGGCAGCAGCGTGAGCAGACGACAGAGGCACATGGCGCAGGGTGGCGGTGTAAGGCAGCATTATTCTGAAGCCATACACAGGCCTAGGTTAAAAAGCGGAAGCCGTCAGCAGCGTGAGCAGACGACAGAGACACATGGCGCAGGGTGGCGGTGGATGCAGCAGTATTCGGAAGCCAAACACAGGCCTCGGTTAAAAAGCGGAAGCCGTCAGCAGCGTGAGCAGATGACAGAGACACATGGCGCAGGGTGGCGTGGATGCAGCAGTATTCGGAAGCCAAAACACAGGCCTCGGTTAAAAAGCGGAAGCCGTCAGCAGCGTGAGCAGACGACAGAGGCACATGGCGCAGGGTGGCGGTGGAGGCAGCAGTATTCAGAAGCCATACACAGGCCTAGGTTTAAAACTGGAACCCAGCAGCGTGAGCAGACGACAAAGACGCACATGCAGAGGATGGATCTGGCAGCAGTATGAGAAGGCGGTACAGGGGCCCGTGGCAAAGTGTGGTGATGGGGGCTACAGCAACTGGATGCCAGAAAGTGGCCGATAGGGCTATATACGGCATGGAATTATAAAGTTGTAAAGTCAGCGGCCTATAAGGCTATACACACTATAACAATCATGACTTGATTGACCATTGGCCTATAAGGCTATACACAGCATGAATATCATGACTTATTCTGAGAGTGGTTTGGAAGGCTATATACAAAAAGTAATTCATGAGCTGTCCGGACAGCGGACAATAAGTACATATATACAAATCAATTCATCAGCTGTCCACCAGCGGCCTCAAAGGCGACACATATAGAAAGCAATTCATGAGCTGTTCAGACAGCGGCCTCTAAGGCGACAGATATACAAAGCAATTCCCGAGGTGTTCAGGGAGCGGCCTGAACGGCTAGGTTATTAGGTCAGTTGTGTCAGGAACTGGTGGTTTGAAATCCAGACTAATCCACGCCTGATTCAATTTCACAAACGTGAGTCTCGTTCCACACTTTGGTGGACAGTCGTGTCCTCCGCGGAGTTACAATACCTCCTGCCGCACTAAACACGCGCTCCGATGCCACGCTACTGGCCGGGCATGACAGCCTTTCAAGGCAAATTCAGCTAGTTGGGGCCAAAGGTCAAGTTTCGTTGCCCAGTAGTCAAGGGGATTGTCTACCTCGGTTGGCAGGGTGCTGTCCAAGTAGGCCCAAGCCTGTTTGTTTGAGGTCCTGCTCCAGGTCCACCTGATGCTGCTCTGCTGCTGCGGTGGTTAGTAGTTTCCTCACTGCGCTGGTGAAGAAGCTACTCATCATCGACTGCAGACTGAGGCAGCCGCTGCTGGTGAGCTGCCACTGCTCCTACCACCCCACCCCTCCCCTGCTGGCCATGGCAGCGGAACGCGAGCGCACAGGGCCCACAGTGTCTGAGGATGGACGTTGCGGCGCAGAAAGGCAGAGACCAACTGACTACATAGGTGGTTTTTTTATAGTACTTTATTTTGCCTCCCTCTCAGCAGTGTAGAAAAAGGCCACCATTTTTTGAACTGTAGCGAGGTCCAACAAGGTGGACAGCCCAAAAGTCATCCCTCTGTCTGATGGTTAATATTCGGATAACCTGTCGCTACGCAAGCAACCGAGCATGCTATGGGCCATTTGTGCCAAGGGAATGCGAGGGACTTCATTTACCCTGCCTCCAGTCAGTCCACAGCATACTGCCGAACGGTGCGTACTGGGTCCTCTGTCTCCTCTCCTCCTCATCCCCAGATGCTCCTGCTCCTCCACTTCCTGTCCGCTGAGTGGAAAAACCACCCATTTCACTTCAATAAATCCTCCTGAGCACCCAATGTCCTCCTCTACCGATGTGGGGGGGTGGGGGTGGGTGGGGGTGGGAGGGGGGGGGGGGTTGGGGGGGGGGGGGGGGGGGGTTGGGGGGGGGGGGGGGGGGGGGGGGGGGGGGGGTGGGTTGGTTCCTCCCTCTTCTTCCTGTCCTGCCCCCAGGGACAGGGGTCATGATAGAATGGTTAGTTTTGAGGGGGGTTATCGGTGACGTGCGCCACGTCACATAGACCCCTAGTGGGGGCGAGGACGCACCCTGACCAGGGTCCATTGCGCCACGTTAACCCTGACCAGCATGTTGTTGTCCGAGGACGTGGGGCAACAGAGGAATGACGGTCGTTCATCAACCCCATAGTCCTGCCGACTCAACGAATAGCGTGCCCTCCTCAAAGTGCCTGAGCAAGCGGCAGGTTCACGCATGAGGAGCTGCCAATGGCTGACATCTAAGTTACACAGGGGAGTACCTTATCCGCTTGTAACATCAGGAAATCTGCTGTGATGCCTTTCGCTGTTCGTAAAGGCGGTCTAACATATGTAGCGGTTGAATTCCACCTTGTTGCAACGTCGCAGATCAGGCGATGCTGTGGAATTCCGTTCTGCCGCAGCAGCTCACAAGGAGGGTGTGCTTTTTTTGCTGTGTAGGAATGGCTGAAATGCATGCAAAGTTTACGTGACATTTATAAGGATGTCTTGCAGTGGGAGGTGGATTTTAGGAACCGCTTGACAACCAGATATGAACACGTGAGCGCATGCATGGCGCATGGCACATACCTTCCTTTGACGCAGAGCAGACACCATGTTCTTTCCGTTGTCGGTCAACATGGTCCGATTTTCAGTTTGCGCGGAAGACAGCCATCTGTCGATTTCTCTGTTCATTACACTCAGAAGTTCTTTCCCTGTTGACTACGTTTTCGCCAAGGCATACCAGGTGCAGCACAGCGTGACACCGTTGCGCCCTGCACATGGTGATATGCCGGTCGGGTAATGGGACTTGGCACGGGGGTGGTCGGCTGAGGACACGGCGGAAGAAGAGTGGTAGAGGCGGACATCTTTGCTGCTGGACCAAGGACGTGCAAACGAGGTAGGCAAAAGCGGCGTGACCTGTCCAAGTTGCTGGTGCGGCTGTGCCGGCACCAACGTTCACCCAGTGGGCCGTAAATGACATGTACTGTCCCTGACCGTAGTTACAGCTCCACACGTCGGGTCGCTGCCGTGCACTATGGCAGAGACCGACATGCTCCAAAGACTGGCCCACCATCACTTCTACATGTGAATGCAAGGCTGGCACTGCCTTTTTTGGCGAAGAAATGCCGCTTGAGCACTCTCCACCGCGGCTCGGCACAAGTCCCCATCAGTTCTCGGAAAGAAGTGTGCTGAGTCCACCACTTGGAAGAGGGAGGGACTGCAGCACCAGCAACTTGGACAGGAGGACGTTCAGCTTGCTGCAACCGTCGGGTGTGTGCTCGCAAACTGTTGTCTCTTGGAAACGGATTCCCAAGAAAGACGTGCTGACCGGAATCCGTGAAGAGGAGTAGCGAAGGAGAAGGAGCATCTGAACGAGCGGAAGATGGCAACGAGTCGACAACTCCCGCTCCAGCAGAGGTGTATGGAGCCTTGACTGTGCTGATAGAGTGGCGATTTGACGTCGGGTGACGAGCAAGTAACGGAGCGGGTGATGGAGAGCGGGGGCTGGGGCAGGCAGAACCCGCCGTATCTTTATCACGGTTTTTCCCAGGCCAAACCGCGAATGGGCGACGCTGCATATGCTGACTGACCGATAGATGTTAAAATTTTCTAGATGAGGATTGTGCTGTAGTCCCAACATGGCCCCCTGGCCACGCTTGACTTTTCCTGAGCCACATAGACGACATACGACTACGTTTACTCTCCTCGGTGCAGGCTTGACGAAAAATTTGCCACACCGCCGAGTAGGAAACTTTGCGCCCCGCTACTCCTCACTGGCTGGACTAGCTACTTCCTCCGTGCACACCGGCACCACTACTGGCCTGGTAGGTGGTAGGCTGCAGTGGAGCTGGTGCTCCTCTACTCCGTGGAGGCCGTATTGCCTCCACTGACACTGCTGCGAGCGACCCTGCTGCCTCCTGGGCAACCCACCGACCTGTTTTGCTCGCTGCCAAAGCTGGCACCCTCTTCTCTTGATGATGTGGAAGCAATAGCCTGATGACGACGAGGCTGGCCAAGTGCGATCAGCCTCATCATCATCAATTAGGGTCTCCGCGTCACTAACTAGCCCCCTCGGCTGCGAGTGTGGGTCAGGAGACAGACCTGTCTCTAGACCGGCTACCGAGCCACTCCCTCGCCAGTACTTCTTCGCCTGGCTGCTGAAGATGGCGGATGTCTCCCCCCGTTCCTGACCGCCCTCTGTAGCTCTTCCTCACTGTACAGTGGGGCTGAGACCCACAGCATGCGAAATACTTTCGCTTGGTGAGGGAACACCAAAGATGACAGGGGCATGTCAGATTGACACGGTGATTTCAGTGGGCTTTTGCTCCCGGGCCATGCCAACTAACGGTTGTGTCTGTCAGACGTACCCACCGACCATTGGCTGCGTATGTGTCAGAGTGACCTGGGAAGAGGAAGACGACCGACGTCAAACCAATCGATGACGGCAGGGTTGTCGGTGGAGACACACCGCTTGTGGAATGACACCCGGGAGCACTGGCCTCTGGCAGCGACTAGTGCATGCCTCGACCCCTTCCTCTGCAGCACACATCTTGCTCGCTCCTTGTAAACATTAGCCTCCTCTGCAACAGGCCGCGAACTTGAATCCTCTGCGTGTTGTCTGACATACTCTTTAATTCAATAAGCACCCCAAAAATAAAACCGGATTTAACTCTTTGATCGTAACGTACAATAGTGGTTTGTGAAGCGAAAGTCAGTTTATTTAGGCACAATTGGGATCAATTGCACGCTTGCCGGTTGCTGGAAACTGTACGTTTCTATGTCACTGGAATGCACTAATCACCCCAAAAAATATTACCAACCGGCCACCGCCGGCGTGTAAATGGATCTATAACTCTTTGAACGTAACAATAGTGGTTGTGAAGCAGAAAGTCAGTTTATTTAGCACAATCGTCTCAATTGCAGCTTGCCGTTGGCTGGAAACTGTACTTTTATGTCACTGGAATGCACTAATCACCCAAAAAATATTACCGCCACCCCCGCGTGTAATATGGCTTTTAACTCTTTGAACGTACAATAGTTGGTTGTGAAGCAGAAATTCAATTTAATTTAGCACAATCGGTCAATATGCAGCCTTGCCGTTTGCTGGAAACTGTACGTTTCATGTCACTGGAATGGCACTAAATCACGCCAACAATACGTATTAACACGGCCACCCCGGTCGTTGTAAATGGATCTAACTCTTTGAGAGGTACAATAAGTGGTTGTTGAAGCAGAAAGATCATTTTATTTAGCACCACAATCGGTCAATTGCAGCTTGCCGATTGGCTGGAAACTGTACGTTTCTGTCACAGAAAGCACTAATCCACCCAAAAAATATTACCGCCAGCCGGCGTGTTAGATGTTGGGTTGTGTTGGGGGGTGGGATGATTTTGGGTGTGTGATTTGTTGTTATGTTGAATGCACTAATCACGCCAAAAAAGAATTACCTCGCCACTCCTGGCGTGTAAATGGTTTAAACTCTTTGTAACACGTACAATAGTGGATTGTGAAGCGAGAAAGTACAGTTTATTTAGCACATCGACGGTCAATTGCCAAGCTTGCCCGTTTGCTGGAAACTGTTTATTTTATGTCACTCGGAATGCACTAATCACACCAAAAAAAATTACCGCCACCCCGGCGTGTAAATGGCTTTTAACTCTTTGAACGTACAATATTGGTTTGTGAAGCAGAAAGTCAGTTTATTTAGGCACAATCGGTCAATTGCAGCTTGCCGTTGGCTGTAAACTGTACGTTATATGTCACTGGAATGCACTAATCACCCAAAAAATATTACCGCCAAAGCCCGGCGTGTAAATGGATTTAACTCTTTGAACGTACAATAGTGGTTGTGAAGCAGAAAGTCATTTTATTTAGCACAATCGGTCAATTGCAAGCTTGCCGTTGGCTGGAAACTGTACGTTTAATGTCACTGGGAAACTAATCACCCAAAAAAATTACTGTGCCAACCCGGCGTGTTAAATGGGATCTAAACTCCTTTGAACTTACAATAGTAGGTTGTGAAGTGGCAGAAAGTCCCAGTTTATTTAGCACAATCGGTCAATTGCAGTCTTGCCGTTGGCTGGAAACTGTACGTTTATGTCACTGGAATGATAAATCACGCCAAAAAATATTACCGCGCCACCCGGCGTGTAATATGGTTTTAACTCTTTGAACGTACAATAGTGGTTGTGAAAGCAGAAAGTCATTTATTTAGCACAATCGGTCCAATTGCAGCTTGCCATTGGCTGGAAACTGTACGTTTAATGTCACTGGAATGCACTAATCACCCAAAAAATATTACCGCCCACCCCGGCGTGTAAAATGGATCTCTAACTCTTTGAACGTACAATAGTGGTTTTGAAGCAGAAAGTCAGTTTATTGTACACAATCGATCAATTGCAGCTTGCCGTTTGGCCTGGAAACTGTACGTTTATTCACTGGAATGCACTAATCACCCAAAAAATATATTACCGCCAGCCGGCGTGTAAATGGATTTAACTCTTTGAACGTACAATAGTGGTTTTGTGAAGCAGAAAGTCAGTTTATTTAGCACAATCGGTCAATTGCAGCTTGCCGTTGGCTGGAAACTGTACAGTTTTTATTGTCACTGGAATGCACTAATCACCCAAAAAATATTACCTTGCCCAGCCGGCGTGTAAATGGATTTAACTCTTTGAACGTACAATAGTGGTTGTGAAGCAGAAAGTCAGTTTATTTAGCACAATCGGGTTCAATTGCAGCTTGCCGTTGGCTGGAAACTGTACGTTTAAATATGTCACTGGAATGCACTAATCACCCCCAAAAAATATTACTCGGCCAACCCGGCGTGTAAATGGATCTAACTCTTTGAACGTACAATAGTGGTTGTGAAGCAGAAAGTCAGTTTATTTAGCACAATCGCGTCAATTAGCAGCTTGCCGTTGGCTGGAAACTGTACGTTTTTTGTCACTGGGAATGCACTAATCACCCAAAAAATATTACCAGCCACCCGGCGTGTATATGGATTTAACTCTTTGAACGTACAATAGTGGTTGTGAAGCAGAAAGTCAGTTTATTTACACAATCGGTCAATGCAGCTTGCCATTTGGCTGGAAACTGTAACGTTTATGTCACTGGAATGCACTAAATCACCCAAAAAATATTACCGCCACCCGGCGTGTAATAGGATCTAACTCTTTGAACGTACAATAGTGGTTGTGAAGCAGAAAGTCAGTTTATTGTACACAATCGGTCAATTGCAGCTTGCCGTTGGCTGGAAACTGTACGTTTGTGTCACTGGAATGCACTAATCACCCAAAAAATATTACGCCAGCCGTCGTGTAAATGGATTTAACTCTTTGAACGTACAATAGTGGTTGTGAAGCAGAAAGTCAGTTTATTTAGCACAATCGGTCAATTGCAGCTTGCCGTTGGCTGGAAACTGTACGTTTATGTCACTGGAATGCACTAAACACCCAAAAAATATTACCGCCAGCCGGCGTGTAAATGGATGGATTAACTCTTTGAACGTACAATAGTGGTTGTGAATGCAGAAAGTCAGTTTATTTAGCACAATCGGTCAATTGCAGCTTGCCGTTGCTGTGAAACTGTACGTTTATGTCACTGGAATGCACTAATCACCCAAAAAATATTACCGCCCACTCCCGAGCGTGTAAATGGATCTAACTCTTTGAACGTACAATAGTGGTTGTGAAGCAGAAAGTCAGTTTATTGTAGCACAATCGTCAATTGCAGCTTGCCGTTGGCTGGAAACTGTACGTTTATGTCACTGGAATGCACTAATCACCCAAAAATTTTATTACCGCCACCCGGCGTGTATATGGATTTAACTCTTTGAACGTACAATAGTTGTTTTGAAGCAGAAAAGTCAGTTTATTTAGCACAATCAGTCAATTGCAGCTTGCCGTTGGCTGGAAACTGTACGCTTTTATGTCACTGGAATGCACTAATCACCCAAAAAATATTACCGCCACCCGGCGTGTAAATGGATTAATACATCTTTGAACGTAACAATATGGTTGTGAAGCAGAAAGTCAGTTTATTGTAGCACAATCGGTCAATTGCAGCTTGCCGTTGGCTGGAAACTGTACGTTTATGTCACTGGAATGCACTAATCACCCAAAATAATATTTTACCGCAAGCCGGCGTGTAAATGGATCTAACTCTTTGAACGTACAATAGTGGTTGTGAAGCAGAAAGTCATTTATTTAGCACAATCGGTCAATTGCAGCTTGCCGTTGGCTGGAAACTGTACGTTTATGTCACTGGAATGCACTAATCACCCAAAAAATAATTACCGCCACCCCGGCGTGTAAATGGATTTAACTCTTTGAACGTACAATAGTGGTTGTGAAGCAGAAAGTCAGTTTTTATTTAGCACAATCGGGTCAATTGCAGCTTGCCGTTGGCTGGAAACTGTACTTTATGTCACTGGAATGCACTAATCACCCAAAAAATATTACCGCCACCCGGCGTGTAATGGATTTAACTCTTTGAACGTACAATAGTGGTTGTGAAGCAGAAAGTCAGTTTATTGTACACAATCAGTCAATTGCAGCTTGCCGACAGCCACATGAAAAACTGTACGTTTCTGTCACTGGAAATGCACTAATCACCCAAAAAATATTACCGCCAGCCGTCGCTTTGTAAAATGGATTTAACTCTTTGAACGTACAATAGTGCGGTTGTGAAGCTGAAAGTCAGTTTTTTATTGTGCAGATATCGCAATTCGTGTCCCTGCAGCACCAACGATACCTGTTGGCACCTAACAGCCACCAAAAAAAAAAACTCTGTCTTTCCCTTAAATTATGTCACAGGTTAAATTTTCATTCTTATGAATAGCCGTGGCCCTGAGTAATGGAGAAATTCTAAGTGGCCCTGAGTAACGATTCTATAGCTCCCCTGAGTAAAGTGATTCTGTGCCCTGAGTAACGATTCTTGTGCCCTGAAAGTTTCTGTGGCCCTAACTCTCACATTCCTTAATACACACAGCGCGCCTGTCTCTCTTGAACTTTGATCCCGGAGGCTAATGGAAATTCTTCTCTGCCTGCGATTTATAGCTCCACCATTAAACAGTGCTGTCTGGCTGCTGATTAGGGCTAATGCGATTCACAAATGTAAAAAAAAAGGGAAATACAGTTATGGTTCAGCGCCCTGCGAGAGCGTATAATACACACAGTCGTCTCGGATCGGAGCTCGCGCCTTAGCTCTGCGCGCCATTGAAGATACGCCCTTGTCTGCGCGCCCCATCGCCCCGATCTTCTCTGTCCATTTTCTCCGTCGCCACACATGTCGCCGCCATTTTTGGTAAAAATTCGATTCGTGCCCATCCGAAGTTTGCTAATCTTCGGATTCGTCGCGAATAGAATTTTTCCAAATCTCCGGAACAAATTCCACTTCGTCATGTTCGATTTCGCTCATCTCTAATAAATAATAATAATAATAATTCTTTACTCCCCACGGGAAAACTCACGTACCAAAATCGCAATGCTTCTCGTAAGTTCTGGCAGAGTTGGCTGGATTACACCTGGCCTCGCCCCTACTCAATTGATAGTGGACTGACTTTTGCAGGTGTGATATTTTAATATCAGGTGCGTGGTTCCACTCCTCCCCCTGGGGGTGTTCA